AGGGTCATTCCTTCTGACATGAGATATTCCAGTTTTATACTGTCCCTTCCACGACATTCGATAGTCTATATTCTTGACTGTCCACTCTACTTCGTTCAACATGACATCGGGAACAGTTGCCGAGACAATGTGGGGCAACCTACGGTTGATATCTATCATGAAGGGGTAGAGTTTGTTGTAGAAAGTCGTGCAGTTCCCTTTCATGTTGCAGCGTCATGTAGTTTTTGTTTCTCCTTGTCCCTAAGTCCTACGGGAATCTGAATTTTTAGAAGTATACCCTTTCCTGTGGCTTTCAGGCTGTTAGTCTTTAATACAGTCTCTCTTAGCTTCGTTCTCCTGTACCCGCCATAGTCCTCCTGTATCTTCTTCCACATTTTTTGCACAATGCAGTATAATCATGGTCCATCAGCCTTCCGTCCAACATTTCTGACCGACAGCTGCCTCATTACACGGCTGGCGCATTGTTTCCTCGTCGACACTGCTTTCTGACTGGATAAGAGGATGGTAGTTTTGACGGTTTTGATGAGGTGCTGGTAGTCTACGTCGGTGCCTCTGTTGGTATCTATCGCGAGATTCAGCTGAGCAAGCTTCTCTACGAAAACTTCAGCAACGAAGATTCGTCCAATGCCAGTGGCGTTTCAACCATTCTAACCCCATCTTCTTTAACGAAGTCGATTGCGAATATGGATCGAAGTAATCTATGGCTTGAACCAGCTCAAACGATATTTTCCTCAATGACAGGCACATCAGTTATTACTCGTCTTGTTTCTGTTAGAATGTAGTCAATCTAGTTCACGGTCTATCCATTATACCTCCTCCTCGTCCACTGTTCCTTATCAACTTTTACAAACATGGCATTCAGGATGTAGAGGCGAATACTTTCAGCAAACGTCACCAGGCGGGAGCCGAATTCGTTTCCCTGTCCACTTCCAAACAAGTCGATGAAATGCCCTGCACCGGTTCCTTCCTTTCTTACTACCGTTTAAATCTCCTTAGACGCTTGTGCAAGTAGGTGTTTTCCATCGCGCTTTCTAGTTCCTAGCAGAACTGCTCCATGTCGTCATCGTCCGCTTGCTAGTTCAGCTGCATGCTTCGATCGTCTTTAGTGATCTTGTGTGTCCAGCCGGAGGATTAGTACGGTTATACAAGTTGACCTGAGTCCTATTCTAAAAGATAAATCCCCTGAAGAAAATATCATCATCGCCGTTCCGCTGGGCGATAAGTTCAGCGGATCTTCAGGTTTCGCACACGCAGAGAACATCTGCTCTTTCTTCTTATCAGTTATGTAGACATCGACGCACGTATATGACAACGAAATGTTGGTACTGTAGCTAGCCAATAAGATATAGATGATATCCTTTGGCCGCTTGCCAGTCACGTCTTGATTATCACCAGGTCGCAAGTAATCTTAGGCCTTGGCAAACCGACGTGGTAGCCTTGATGTAGCTCCGGTACTCTTCCGTGCATAACGCATTTCTGGCGAGTTCCAGAGACAGTTTGTTCAGGGTGAAAACATTCGTGAACTACAGCCCTCTTAATCTACGTCGGTCAACCAGCTCATGGAGATCTAGAAAAAACTTGGTTAGCCTTTGATCGCAGTAGAGTTAACTGATCAGTGTTAGGTGTCGTCGTCTCATCTCACTTTAGAGGGCGCTCTGCGGCATGTATAGCTGGCTTACGATATACAGGGAACCAAATGGTAGCACGGAAAAAAATACACGATAAGTCACAAGCATTACCGATATTGTGGCTTTTCGGCTCAAACGCTCAACGTTAATGATGTGCCCTGAAAGTCATACGAAAAGGAGCTTCCAATGTTACGGTGTGTGACTTGCGGAGAGGGGCCACGCGAAAAACAGATGGATGCTTTTCTAAGTGAAACTGATTGACTTGATAATCTTTGAGACTTTCGCTTCTATGCAACGGAGGAAACCCAATGTAATATACACAGAGCCCAATAAGAGAGACAGTCTTTCCAGTTCGGCTAACTAACAGCTAAACGAAGAGAAAGCGATGAAAAGTTGCCACTTTGACAAACTTACGAGACGGATGGTGTCCGCTTCGACTTCAGCAGCATTATAATCTTCAGAGACCAAAACCATCACGCCACTGTTGAACGTCATTAAACTAAAGACATCTGGCAGTTTTACTAAAACACACTGGAGAAAACCGATGAACTGATGCACAAAAGACAGTCCAATTAGAAGAACATTATAATCGATAAAAAACAGATGTGATGGGAAGAAGAATCAAAATAAATATGAAGATTTTATATGGATCAACAAAGATCATTCCAAATAAAATGAAAACATATTTCTGATTCTGAGCCAGCTGTTTAAGTTACACGCTGTTCGTTGATTTATGGATGTCGATACCAAGCAAGCGACACAGATGAAAATACTTTTATTGCCCCAAGTCTGGGGAAAAAGTGTTAACATCTGTGTTGATTCTTGCTAGCAATTACGAATAGGCGAAAAATGTACAAAGTTCATTTTATTTATTTCGATAAGTTCTCATTCCATTTGAGACGCCAAAATATGTGATAATATATATTTGT